CTCAGGAGGCGACATTAAAAGGAGGTGAGAAATGGAAGTATTACAAAGTAGCTAAAAACGCAATGGCTGCATTAAAAAACCACTCTGGAAGTAGGTAGTGACACATACAATTGATGACCCAGAAAAGCGAATCAGCCCCGCAGAGAGAAAGCAGGCGGCCGGCTCTCTTGGGACGCAAAGGGGACACATACAAAGGTGACAGTCATGAGAAATCAGACGGGGGCGGGGCACGGAGAAGAGTGGAGATACAAAGGCTAGACCTGGTTCTGGAGCAGAGCATCGTTGGCAAGTCTAATCGGGAAGAGAGAAAGGAGAAAGGGGGTCTAGCCGTTGGCCCGGGGTTCCCGGTGCGCGAGGAGAGCTGAGTGTTCCAGCAACTGTCCTGTTCTCGGTCTGGTGTCACCTGTGGCAGGCTCAGGGCCTCAGTGTCGCTGCGGGTTTGGGCTTTATCCACTGTGTCACGGGCTGTCACCAGCTGTCCGGGTTTGGGGGTGCTCACAAGCTGCCGGCAGCTGGGGGGACGCTGGGCCACCGCGAGGACGCTTAGCAGGTTGCAGGGTCAGCGACAGCCCGTGAAGAAATGGTGGTGGTCAACGGAGTGGTGCGTTGAGGGCAACTCGGGAAAATAAAGGCCCACGAGCCCAGAAGCCCCGGCGGGTCCAATGAGGCTGGATTCAGCAAGCCGTGGAATCAGAGCTCGGGAGGAGTGCAGAGCGGCTGACACAGGAGGGACCATCTGATTGGTTGGAAGCAGCCCCCCCCCCACCTCCGCTCTTCCAGCCCAGCCTTGGGGTCGCCCAGAGCTCAGCCCCAGTGGGGCCCCTCCAAGGAAGCTTGCTGAGCCAGGGCTCGGCTCTACCTTCTCGAAATGCCGATCACACACCTGCTGGAGAATGAGAGAGGGCACTGATTTGGGAGTCCGAAGTCTTCAAATGCGGACCTTGACGTGCCCAGTGACTGTCCCTGAACATCTCGGGGCATGGCCTCTGCAGAGAAGGGATCCCCTAGGTCTGGTTCTGTCTCCTTACAGAGCACCGTGACCATCCTACTGACACATTCACTGGGAACGTGCTTGGAAAAGGAGAACGTGACCCAGTGGTGGAGGTTGAGAGGATTCGGAGAGAGAAATTAAGGGAGAATGTTCTAGAAGCCCGGGGGGGGGGGGGGGGGTCGTAATGCCCAAAAGCCAACATTCCACTTATAAGAAAAAAATATGTCTCCTCAGCTCCTTAGTGAGAAGGAAAGGTTCTAGAAAGCGTCTTAGAGTCCTGATTCTCACGCTGGCTCTGGGGCCACCCCCCAGTCCCTCTCTGTCCCTCCGCCTCTGCTCTGTATGATGTGTGTCATCAGCTTTGAAGTGCCTGCACAGGAGGCTCAGAAAGAAACTCCCAAAATATGACGTGAGGGGGGAAAAAGGACAATTTCTCAGCAGGTTGAAAATGGTGGCCTGTTGACAGAGGTCGGGGTAACAAGGGGATGCATCTCCCTCCGCTGTGCCTCTGCCAACCCGGCCTGTTCTCTGATTTATTTTTTCAGTCCCAAGGAATATTTTCTATAGGCAAGAGGCAGCCCTTCAACGTAGCTTCACCGGAACCGGACATCACAGAGGAGCCTGGATTCGGGATCAAGTGCCACCTGCTGGGCCTATGCTTGGGCCTCAGTTTCCCCTTCTGTAAAATAAGACGATGGGTAAGAAGAAACTCATCTCCCCGTCACCATTCTTTAGCAGAGCTCTTGTGGAACCATCACTGGCGGCGGGGGGGGGGGGGGATTATTTTTGGGGAAAAAAAGTGTTTTGCCCGTTTTCAGGTATACTGCATAAATACATGAAATGTTTTATATGTGCATAAATGCAGCCATAGGCATGTATGCCCAGCCTTGTTTCTACTTTGCCTTTTTGTTGGGTCCCGTCCTCCCTCGGGAAGAGCTTTTGGGACCTTTGTGGCTCTGGTGGTCCACATTTCCGGGGCTGGAAGAATCCCAGGGCGAGGTGAAAGGAAAACAAACAGCACCAAGGACCAGTTATGCGTGATGCTAAGATGGGGAGCCAGGCACCATGAGGGTGGTTCTTGCTCGCCCTGGGAGCGTAAGGCCTTTGCTTTTCCTTTGCCTCTCTAGCCCTCCTCCCCTGACTCCGACAGTCACCCCAGGACAGGTCTGGAAGCCAGGCTGTACCTGAGTTTGGCCTCCAGATTTCCACTCTGCCATGGAGTCTGGGGACCAGGGAAAATTCTCCCTAGAAAATTCTCCATGGAAAGCTGGCCCCGCCCATCTTTCTGCAGGGAGTGGAGACTGGCACATTCCCAGGTTTTTCAGGCCAACCGGCTCATTTCCTTCCATCTTAGAAACCTCTGGAAGCCAGGACGCCCACATCCTGGCTCACCCCTTAGCCATCAGTTCAGCCAGGAACTACTCCTTCCAGGCAAGAGAGAGCAAAAGCAAACACAGAAAGGTCAGCCTTAAATGAACAAGCAATTCACAGAAGGAACAGAAGCAGCTAAGAAACGCACGAAAGTAGTTTCAATCGCAGTGAAAACTAAAATCAGTAAAAACGAGAAAATAAAAAATAATAAAGAAAAATGCACACCAAACAGTGGTATGCCTTTGGCAAAGGTGACTATTCTAGGGGCGCCTGGGTGGCTCCGTCGGTCGGGCGTCCGACTTCGGCTCAGGTCACGATCTCATGGTTTGTGAGTTCGAGCCCCACGTCAGGCTCTGTGCTGACAGCTCGGAGCCTGGAGCCTGTTTCCGATTCTGCGTCTCCCTCTCTCTCTGCCCCTCCCCTGCTCTCGCTCTATCTCCCTCTGTCTCAAAAATAAAAATAAACATTAAAAAATAATTTAAAAAAAAAAGGTGACTATTCTGTGGGGAGAGCCTGTAGGGAAGCGGGCCGCTGTGTAGACCAGCAGCCCCTCTGTGTGGGACGGACATGGAGAACCTCCCCTCTGGAGAGCAAGGTGGCAGGGGCCGCACAACTCTGACCGGGTGCTGGCCTCTGAACTCAGCAATTCTGTGTCTGTGAGTCCGTCCCAGTGGAATGATAAAGACTGGACACAAATATCTGAACTCAGGAATACTCCTAGGAATTAGAAAGAACATACTTGCCCAACAAAGGGAGATTGGCTCCGTCACCTGTGGTCCGTCTCTACAACAGAATTCTTTTGGACTTCATGTCACAAAAACCTACACCTGGGCATAAAAGTGATGTTCAGGGTATATCGCTGGGTAGGAAAAGCCGCTTAGCGGACGCCAGAGTCCATGCAGTAAAATGACATTTCCTTTCTGTGAAAAGGCATGCTATGCGGCATGATGGGTCATAGACAGCCTTCTGGATCATTTATGAATATTTTAGCCACGTTTTCCTACATAAACAGGTATCACGTTGTCCCCCTTCCCTCCCCCCGTGTTCTTCTGTCTTGTTCCTCAACTTCCACGTAGGAGTGGAAACATACCTGTCTTTCTCTGCCTGACTTATTTCACTTAGCATCACCCTCTCCAGTTCCGTCCACGCGGCCACAAAAAGCCAGATTTGGTTCTTTCTCATTGCCACGTAGTATCCCATGCAAACCACGCCTTCTTTCTCCATTCATCCGTTGATGGACATTTAGGCTCTTTCCCTAATTGGAACAAACAAACAAACAAACAAACAAAGTTACAAAAGGGGAGGGAGGGAGGCAAACCATGAGAGACTTTTTTTTTTTTTAATTTTTTTTTTCAACGTTTATTTATTTTTGGGACAGAGAGAGACAGAGCATGAACGGGGGGAGGGGCAGAGAGACAGGGAGACACAGAATCGGAAACAGGC